AAGCGAAAGTATCACTCTTAACTCTTAAGCTAAGAAACAAGCCCTCGAGCTAGGCTTTTGCACCTTGGAGAACCCATAGCAAAGAGTGTAAGACAGCTCGCCAGCTTGAGTAGAGTGTGAGTAAGCGCTAGCTATGACCAATTTATCATCTTCTGTAATGAGAATTACAGCCTTTTCAACCCAGAGATCAGTCACCCAGCAGCACATTCCAACTATTACCTTAAACTTCCTTTCAAACTAATATTAAGGAACTCTAATCATTGGGAAAGGCTTTCAAACACTTGATTATTCAATAAGGCTCTTACAGATGAGCCTGTAAGAAAAATACCAACGAACCATCGTCCTTTTAAGAACGGAAAGCCAATGGCGATAATGTGGAACCATGAGACGCTAACGTAGAGAACTGCATTACACAAGAAAATCCACTTTTCCACCCATCAGCTTTTTCGACTTCACTTTTTTCGGGGGTTTATTTTATATGAAATTGCTTATATCAGTAGAATGAACGGGAAAGTTCAACTAACACCATGAACTTCGGGCCTCTGGCATATAGAATTTCTATATATCACTGTCGAGTTATAAAATTGAAATTAAGCATGGAACATTCAATTTTTCTTATGAAGCACCAAACCTTAGATAAGATATAAACCACTGCTTGCATCCGTGTACAATTAAGCTTTTTAACGGACTGTGAATTCCCTAACTTTTATATGAGTCATAATTCACACTTCAGCACTCAAGAATAATTTCAATTCAAAAATAAAAATCTAAAACTAAAACGCCATTCACAACTGCTGAAAGCAAGTGCTGGATGTCAGCATTTTTTTTAAAATTACATGCAAAATTATTCACTGAATATCTGTTGCCTCATTGAAATGCTGCTATCTTTACTTAGCCTAAGAATCATGGCTGCATTACTATCTAGACATTAAATTATAAGTAAAATGAAGGTTTAGAAGAGTCATATTAGACACTAAGAAAATACAAAATTGTGAAGCATACCATTTGAGAGAACCTACAAACATCAGGTTATCTCAGGAGCAATTTCACTGGCTTCTATGTCGACACTATTCTCCTTACCAAATAGAGTAAAAGCCACAGTTGCCTGCAAGAAAATGATGCTTTAGTTTGCATGCTTATAGAAGAAAAATGAAGGCATGAAATTAAAATTTCACATAATTGGGAGCCTTTCCCACACTAATTTACCCCGCGCCCCCAAAAAATAATTTACACGGTAGGACAACCTTTACAGCTATTCAGAATTATATATTGGTCCGTCATTTTCATTATATCGATCTATTTTTGGTCAATTTTGTTAAGGTAACTCACTATTTTGCTTTTGCGATTCAGCTTCTTAAGAGTGCCTGTGAACCCTGCAAATGTTCCAGAAAGAACACGAACAGTTGAACCGCGCTTAGGAGTAGATGATTTTTCAGTGGTCATAGCAGAAGTTTTGCTTGACTTCCTTTTTGGCTTAGAATCAGCGTCCGATTTTAAATCACTGTCTCGTTCTAATTCTGTTTTGAGAACCTCAGATTTCAGGACTGCATTTTTCTCTCCTTCCTCAAATGCTCGGTCAGCTTTTTCTTGCTCTTCTTTTGCCTGCCTATAGACTGCTTCCATATCATCAGCAGATACTGGCTTAGGCTTGTTAATCTGCCTCTTTCTGCAAAGTGAATAATAATATTGCTTTCAATTAGACTCAGTTAGGGAAGCAGATATTATTAGAGTAAGCATGGCGGTGGTGGTGGTGGGACCAAACAGACATTTGATATAAGGCGTCTTAAACTGGCAATCAAGGGTCATGGCACATATGGAAGCTAAGAAGGTCACCCATAAGAAAATTCGGCAAAAAGGAGCAAAAAATCTTAACCTGTTAAGGTGAAACCAGATGGACAGATAGAGACACCACTCATTACTTTAGGCAATAACTTTCTAGATTGTGATAGCCCTTATCAATTTTAAATTAAAGCCAGTGTTAAACACTTGTATATCTGAAGCTATTTCTTGGCCTCTTCTTTTGCATGAGAGCTTTTAATCTAACTATGCAACAAAAATATAAAAGGCACAAGATATTAACCATTTCATTTGCCTTAATATTACTTTTAGCAATAAGTTTAACACAAACACCATATACTTACATGCTCCCAACCTTAGAACCAAGAAAGCCTCCGATACCATCATACTCTCTTATGAAGTCGTGCAGCTCTTTGTTCAGAACACATCTAAAAAAGATACAACCTGGGAATAGGGGCTTTGGTGTAACCGAGTATGAACCATTCTTTAATCTCCTTTTCACTTGGACAGCTGGAGTATAGAGCTGAAAACAAACATAAAATTCAAAAAAATTAAAATAGATTAAAAAAAGAAAACAACACAACATTTCTTGACGTCATATTTCTCATATATTTTGTTTTCACATCTCACCAGCTAGAAGAGGTGTTTGGTAACCTTTCTGCTATAATTTCATGATTCATTGAATTCATTCATATAATCAAACTAACGTACAAGATACCTACTTTAGATCTTAAACCAACTCAACTAGAAAAGGAGGAAAAAAACTAAAGGTTAATTGAGAACCCAAGAAATGAACTTTGTCAACCTTTCTTCTTTTTTCTTTTGACGAAGCAACGGTTCTTTGCTATTATTTCTCAGTATATTTTCCGTTTTCATCTCATTATCTGGTAGGGCTATATTGATCTGAAATAAGTTACTTTAACAGAAAAACAATAAGCTATAAATTGTAATTCTCTATCACTTACTCATGCAACCCGATAGATTAAAAGCATGGATCATACACTCAACCATAAAATTGAACAAGCTTAGGAGTTACTCAATTCACATCTCAAATTAATCCATTAAAAGCCTATGAAGAAAATTTAAGATTACTCGAGAACCAAAAAGATAAAAAAATAAAAAAGGAAAACTTTCAAAGTTTTTGTGAAGAAAGAGGAAGCAGCATTTCTTAATCATTACTGCTAATACATTTTGCCATGAGCTGGAAGGAATGTTAGTGTTCTCACTTAAATTAGAAATCAACAAGCTAGGAATTTCTGTTCTTTATAACTCATTCAGAGCAAAAGTGTAAAAGCATTGGTGATGGAATTCAACTAGCCTACAATTTATCCATTTCGCATCTCAATTTATCCATCTTAAGCGGAAGAAGAATGCTGAAGTAATAGCGAACCCAAAATGTGTATCAGTATCAGAATTCTGGAAAGAAAGGAAACATCTCTTCATTATTATTGTCCAGTATATTTCATTTTCTCATCACGTTAGCAGGGTGTTTGGTATTGTCAATTCAACAAACAAAAAAAAAGGCCTTTAAATCTTCGTGATTCATTTAGATAAGCAAATAGAGTGAATAATATGATCTTAAATTTGAGGTAGCTGACGACAAAAGGACCAGCTTCACAGCTCTTAGTAAATACTTCATTTAGGATGGAAGACGAGGAATCAGGTTTAACCAAAAACCCAGAACAACAATTTGAATTTATAGCACTTAATATGATCAGTTCCATAACATTTCTCAGTTGAACAATTCAAAAATCTAAACATGTTTATTTTTATAATTCATCCATGCCAAAAATAGAGTAAAAGCAATGGTCATGAGATGGAAGTAGCCTACAACATATCCATTTCAAAGTATGACACTAAGTTACCTTGAACTCTACATCAGGGAAGTTCCGAGCCAACGAGCGAGCTAGAAGTTGGGCAGTGTCCTGACCCCTGACCCGAGATCCCCGAATAACCCACCATTGGGGACCCAATTTAGCGAGGTTATCGAGGTTAAGTTCCTCGGTCCAAGAAGTTTTCTTCTTCTTGGGCTTCTTGATGAGCCTCTCTTCCACCTCTTCTCTCCAATTCGTAGTGGTTTTGCTCTCTCTTCTCTCATTTCTAAGACGCCTTCTCTCTCTAGCCGTGAGCTCTTGAGTATCGGTAGAATCAAGCGAAGCGGAAATAGATAGGCAAAAGCTTCTGGCTTGAGGAAAGTTGAAAGAGAGAGAAGGGAGAGAAGGTGGTGAAAGAGAATGGAAGCAAGGATTCCATAGCAGAAGCCCCTGCTTCATCTTCTGCAGACAACAAGCGCAGTGGGTGGATTGATAAGGATTAATGAGCTGTTTTAATTTTCCATATTTTTAATCTTATTTGACTGGCCTACATTTATGAATTACATCATTGTCTATTGACAACATGGGAAAAAAATTTTGGGTGGGAGGATTAATTTGAGGATGCAAATAACATGTTATTTATAGATAAAAATTTTAATCTTTTTCTCCATGTAGTAATTAAAATAAGATAAATAATTTGTTATTTAATAGTCAACTACAAAAATTTTTACTTATTAATAAGTTAAATAAACGTGAGTGCTAAAAACTCTATTTTAAACTAAGTAACTAAAATACCCTTCCAGTTCTTAATATAGGATCTGTTTAACTAATTTGATTAGATTAAAAAAATTAGGTAAGTTAGTTAATTATAAGAAATATGACATGTTTTTTTTAAAATATCATAATTATCTTCTTTAATATTTTTCATCCCTCACTTATTTGATTGTAATTGAGAAAATATTCACGAGACAATTTTAAAAAAACTGATAAATATAAATATGAGAAATAAATATTATATAAAATAAAAATTAACTTAATAATTAGATATTATATTAAATATCATATAAGTATAAATTTTATCCGAAAAAACTTGACTTTCTTGCGGAGGGAAAAACGAGACTTGCTAAGCGAAAATAACAGCTGACCAAGAAAAAAAAAATTATGCGCAAGCTTCTCCCGCTTTGTTTTCCAAATTACATTTTTGACCTTAGCAAAGTGCGCATTGTAAATTCACAATTGCGGTCCGTTTAGGTGTTTGCCGCCAAAACGCCCAAAACACACAGAATTCAGCTTTCGCACATTCGTTCCAAAAATTTCAAAAACCTCCCGCGTTTCTTCTCAATCTCATCTAATACATTTTGTTCCATTCTCAGCCCAGATGCATAATACAGTCCTGATACCTTCCCTTTTCCCTCTTTCTCCGATCTCTATCTTCTTTGACCACCACTTTCTTCTCAGCTGCTGCCTCAATTCTCTCGAGAATGGGGAAGCAATCCAAACCCAGAAAGCCCGAGGCCTTCGGAAAAGGGAAGGTCACTCCTATCCAGATCGCGTTCATTGTCGACAGGTACTTATGCGACAACAATTACTCTGAAACTCGCTCCATTTTCAGAAACGAAGCTTCATCTCTCATTGCCAATTCTCCAATGCAGGAGGTACGTTGGCTCATTTGCTTCTTCTGCCAATTTTTCTGTTTTCTTCTCTCTTAGATCTTTATCTCATGTGCGTTCTCGTGCGCGTTATTTATATATTCTTGTGCCCTATACCCGTGTTGTTATCGGAATTTCATGAGGAGCCGGTCTTGATTGAGATTCTTTTCTTTTCTTTTTTTTTGGTGGTACCAGGCACCCAAGACGCTGTTGAGTTTGGGAGAGATGTTAGACGAGTATATCTGCTTGAAGGAGCAGAAAGTCATACTGGACCAGGAAAGGGTCCGTATGGATCAAGAAAAATACAGAGTTCAGATGTTATTGCAAGGTATGCAGAATGTGATGACCGCTTATAATGCAAGTGGGAACCTTCCTGGTCCAGCACCAAACCTCCCAGCACCTGCCGCAAAATCTATGGCTCCTCAACCTCAGATTACTAACAAATCTCCCTCCGGTACCATTCTATGCCTAGTAATTGATATTTATTGCGACCGATAATTATAGAGATTGTTTAGAAGTTCTATGATTCAGACATTTTCGTTAATTAATGTATATACATTTCCTGGCTGGTCAATATTCAATTACGGGTGGAAATTTGATGTTTTTTATTTGTGTTAGAAGACATGGTTGATATTATTAATGAAATCTCAGTTTATGACTCAAGTTCTTCAGTTGAACTGCATTTCTGAAGTGTTGGGTACGCTAAAGTTGGTGTTTTCTTTAGACATACTTCGTTAATGACAGTTAACGGCAACTCATTAGCATCTGTGCTTGTGTTACCTAGATTTTGGTTCTTCAAGGAGTTGGAAACTTTGTATATAACTACAGCTTGTTTGGGGAAAAAGGCGGGGAGTGGTTGCTGGGAAACTCCTGCTGATTTGGTTGTGCTGTAGTCTATATATTTTGTTTACTAGAGCGTTTACATTCAGTTGCAATTGAAGGATGTCAGCTCCTTTATTGTTTTATACTTTTGTTTGTTCAGCGATGTGTAAATTTCGCTAAGTTATGATCCTCTTTGCTTGTTAAATAGGTATTCCTACTCCTATGCAAAGCACAATGAATATACAAACCCGGCCTCAGTCTACCATCACTCAAGCAGAGGCAACACATATGATGAATCCGTCTGACAGAAAGAGAAAGGATACTAAAGCCGTGGATGCCCCTTCAGCTGCAAAGAAAACACGTGGTAGATCTTCTGTCCGGAAAATTCCAAGCCTAGGTATAGCTTTCTCGTGACTCGGAATGTAAGAATTATATTACTACATGCTAGTATCTCAATTTACTCATACATTTCTGCTTTAACTTCATTTTCAGGTCCAAACACATTACCCCAATCTGATAATGCTGCGAATGATCAAGTAGTTGCTCAGCCCTCTTGTGCTGGTCAGTCATCACCTGACAATTGCATGCCGAATGGGACACAGGTTCAAGGATCTACTGTTGCTAAATGCTTATTCAATGAGCCTTCACATACGATTCCCACCAATTCGCCAATTCTAAGGACGCCTCCCAGAGCAAATTCCTCTCACAGTGACACACACGTATCTCCGCCTGAGATTTCTTCAGTTGCAAATCGCAACAAAAGCCATGCTTCTCGGGAGATTACACCCACACGTTGCACTGTAATTTCGACAAAAAGAGTAATGGTCAGTCCTGCAAAACAGATGGCGTACATAGAAAGACGCCATTGCATTTCTCCTCTTAAACCGGAATCAGAGAAGACGAGTAAAAGGGAGCATGTAAGGAGCAGGTTGGACTTTGATGGCTCTGATATGCCAGAGAGTTTGGACAAGCCATTATCTAATGACATGTCTACTTCTGAGTCTGACAAAGAAATAGACATGTTTGACATTGATTTTCCTAACTTAGATGCATTGGGAATGGATTTCTCGTTTACTGAAATGTTAGGTGAACTAGACTTTCATTGTGAAGGCATTGACTTTTCTTGCGACCCAACATCAAACCTGTCCGAGGATAATGCTTCAGGGTATTGTTCTGTTCGAATTTGTGATTCTCTTTTATTGTTGATCAAAGTTTTCTATCTGATGTTTTCTCATTATATAAACAGGCCATCTAATGAAGGTGATCAAACTAACCAAGTCACGTCCGAATTATCTCCAAGTGCGGCAGTTCTATCAGAGAAGGAAATGAGCGCACAAGGTACTAATAAATCAAACTCATTTGTGTCTTAATGATTTTTATATGAGCTAGAGTTTACTCAACCTTCCATTTCTGCAGGTCCTGATTGTTTGACTGCAATGAAATCTGTCACAAAATGCATAACAATATTAAGCCCTGGTAACTTCCTTCTTCAAAAGTCCTGTGACTTTTGAATGACTTCTAATTTTGGAATATTCTAATTTTTCTATGTTAAATTTGCAATATTGCATTATTACATATTACATTATTAACTCATTACATTTTGCCTACAGTGAAAAACCGCCAGCGGCTTCTGGATCAAGAGGACCCTACGAGAGACTGAAGATGTAAAGAATAACTCAGACTGACTTGGCACTTGTGCTTGCTGCAGGATATTCTTTTGTTCATTGTTCCGAAGGATGGCTTCCTGCAGTTGCTCTTGTTCATGACAACTCATTCATTTCCACCTCAGCTTAGGAGATTAGCCTAATTTAGATTAATTATATTTTGATGGTAACCATGCTTAGCCAACCAGTATGTTTAGATTATCCAAAATTGATAAATTATTGTATAGTGTGTTAAGAAGGGATCATGAGAAAAGCAAGAAGTGCATTTGATATACACTCTGGTATTATATATTCAAAAGTTTTAGCAGCGGAGTCCTTAACTTCATTCAAAATGTTGGTTTGGTTTTTCCCTTGCATTCTCCAGGAAATGCTGAACCGTGAAAGGAATCTGCTTCCAGGCTGAATCAAGACAATCAGGCCTCACTTGATAATGAAAGGCAAATTCATTATTATTCATATATTTTTAACAATTAAAAAGTTGACGTGCGGTATACTTCAAGATTAAGGTATATTTCACGATTTTAAACTCGTTAAAAAAAGATTCACATTTTTTTGTGAAATGAGCCAAATTCTTCTTAGAACATTCTTTTCTAGCTATTATTTGTAGTTGTAGATTTTATTCATGAGTGATTACATCATGAAATAAATTAGAATTTCCAATTTTTTATAGGCTTGAATACTTAGAAGTTGTGACAAAATCCGATTAGAGAATCTCTGAGTTCAGCTTATAAAGAACAGTTTACGGTGGGGTCTATTTGGTTTGTGGACGTATTTATAGATGTACGAAATTATTTCTTGAAAGTGATGTACTTTTATGCTTGGTTTGGTTTCCATTAAAAGGGGGAAAAAACAGAGAGCCTTTCTGCTTTTATAATAAACATCATATTAATAATTTACCAGACAATCTGCGACTATAAGCACATCTATTTCTTTGAAAAATTTTCTCATTTCATCTTTTTATTACTTTTCGATTGGTGGTGTTGCCCTCAAAATGATACTTTCTTGTTTTTGAGAGGTCCGAGTCTAATACTCTTTTGTTTGATTTGGTTAGATTAGAATGCACTACCTCCAGTCTTAATTACAAGAACTAGTTTGCTAAGTTGAGAAGATTAAAAAAATAAGTTAAGTCAGTTATTTGTAATAAATAGATGTGGTCGTTCCTAAAATATCATTGCTAATCAAGTGTATTAATCATAATTATCATTATTAGAAAAACTACCTTGAAAAAAAATACATAAATATAATAGAAAAAATAGATTGAGATCTTATATTTAGGATCAAAATAAAAGTCAAACAAGATCTTATATTGAGAACAAAGGTAATATTATAAATGAGAGGGGGTTAATCTTTCTGTTTCACTGCTACGTACATAGACTTTTGAGTTAGAAATATATTGATTCAGTTTTCTTTTCCTTTCTTTTTTTTAAATAAAAATGATACCATTATAACCGCACAATTTTTTGGATGAATCCTACATTATTCTGAAACCAAAAAAAAAAAAAAAGCTGATTACAACATATGAAAGTTTTTCAGTTGACAGTGACATTCAACTTGATTCATATACTATAGTACCCCCATAGGCACAAATGTATGATGGATACTCTATGGTGGGATGCTTTTTGGATATTCCATTTGTATGGTTCTGATGAAATTTATGTACAGTTGTGCCTGGAATAATAAATAAAAGATCTGGAATCATTTTATCAGACAAACGACGAGCTTGGACCTTCTGGGGACCAATTAAAGAATGAAATAAGGTAGACACGTAAATTCATCCTTCAAAAACACTTTTTGAGTGAACATTGCTTTACAAGGTTTGGGTTCAGCATATAATGATGATAAACAAGACATATATGAATTAAGCTAAATACTTCTCCACCTTCTCCACCTCTTCTTTGCTCCCGATGTACAGCGGAACGCGCTGATGGACCTGTTCCAAGAAAAGGAAAATAAAAGTAAATACGAACATCCTTGCATTATGTTTACCTACTAGAAAACAGCAAAATCGTCCAAAATAAGTGAAAGTGAAACAAAAGAAAATAAGGAAGGAAGTTTACTATGTAGTCCCACATAACCAACTTAATTACTAAAAGGTCTTTTTTAGTTATGGGTATGCCATGAACACTTGTTATTTTCTACACTAGATCTTGTTATTACATACTGCTTACTTGTTTTAAAACTTTGTAGTGATTAAATTACTTAAATGAAACTGTAAGGTAATTCTCCCGAGAAGGAACTTACTTCCTGAGGTTCAATGTCAAGTATTCTCTTGTGGCCATCAGAACCTTTGCCACCAGCCTGCTCTACAATGAAGCTCATAGGAGCACACTCATAGAGCAACCTCAGCTTCCCATTCTTGCTCTTCTTGTCTCTTGGATACCCATAAATGCCTCCATATAGCAGAGTCCTATGGAAGTCTCCTACCAAGCTGCCAATGTACCTTGCCGAATAGGGTTTCCCTGAAGGACCAGGGTCCTTCAAATCGTCTATGTACTTCTTCAACTTGTCATCCCACAGCTGGTAGTTCCCTTCATTGAAGGCATAGATTTTGCCAGCTTTTGGGATCTGAATGTTCTCTTGTGTTAGAACAAATTCGCCGTACATGGGATCCAACGTAAAACCAAACACTCCTTGTCCCAGTGTGAGGACGAAGATGATGGAGCTTGAGTACATGCAGTATCCTGCTGCTAACAGGTTGCTACCTGGTTGGCACACGTTCACTACGCATCTTTGTTCTGCTGTGCCCAGCTGCAAAAAATCAAACGCAAATCAAAGACTTAGAATCTTTGAGGCATGGATGAGTTCATGGGTTTCTTGGGAAGGAAGAAACTAACGGTGGAGTCTTCGTCGATGTCGGCGAGGCACTCGTCGTTGGGGCTGTAGATGCCGAAGATGGAGCCGGTGGAGACGGCAGCATCAATGTTGGAAGAACCATCGAGAGGATCGAAGACGACAATGTAGTTTCCTGAATAGCTCTCTTCCACTGCCACTGGCACGTCCTCTTCCTCTGACGCTATTATCCCTGTCCTCCCACTTGATCTCAGGCAATTCGAGAATACCTGAAATTTTGATCATTATCAACATTAACATATTCAAAGAACCTAAATTAATCTATATTGTATAATATGGTATCATGTAAACTGAGAATTCGATCCTTGAATTGTTATGTTCCTATGACTTTATTCTCAAAGCTTAATTAATGATGAGCACACAAATTTCCCGCTTCTGCATTACTCAGTTCAATGCTTTTGGTGATTTAATAAAACAGTCTTGTTAAATACATAAAAAAATTTTAAAGTTTATTTTTCAAAAAAGAATCTATACATGAGAATGCCAGATTATTCATTTGGTTTGCACTATCATAGAGAGAAACAATGAGTACAAATAAATAATAACAATTGAACTCATTAGAATATACAAGAAAAAAAATTTAAGTGATTAATGGCCGGGGTTTGCCAAAACTGAGAACCATCGTTGGATTCCCCGAACGGAATATACATATATGTTTAAGAATATGATTGTTTTGCAGAAGGGCGAAAGCACAAACCTCGTTGGAGACGACGTCCAATTTCTTCTGATCTTCTCCTTGCACATTTGTGGCGCCCTGAATCCCTGTGAGGTTCGATATGTTGGCTCTCTGAACCAGAGACGCTATTTGCTTGCATGCCATTGATATGCTCGACAACACTATCGTCAGCTCTGCGTCAATCACCCCTGCCACCTCTTGCTTCAGCAGCCACCCCGTCAGCGTCTCAATCTCATACCCGCTCTTCTTCTTCGTCCCCGCCGTCGCCTCCGCAGCCGGACTCACCGCCGTACATCTGAATCCGCCACTACCCACTTGCTTCTTCCTGCCGCTGCTGTGATTTGAAGCAGAAAGATCTGATTTTGGGTCGAAGACGCATAACTGCAAGGGGCAGAGACGAGTGGGAGAAACAGAGGAGGGCGAGGGCGAAGAAGAAGAAGAAGATGATTTTGAGAAAACCAAGTGTGAGTATGCTGTCGCTGCAGCTACTGCAACCATAGTTATAACTTCTTCTTCTTCTTCTTGGGGATCTTTTTTTCTTCCTTTTTGGTGAAGATCTTGAGCTTGGTCTGGCACTGAGTTAGTGTGGGGATTTTGTTTGTGGAGATGTTAAGAGTGGGAAGAGATTGAGATTTGTGAGGTGGTGGGTAAGGATCTGTGGTAGTTAGGGTCCCACTTATCATCCCCATATCTCATTTTCAAGAATTTGTGATTAGAATTGCTTCAAGAGGCCAACCAGACTGCCACGATGGATTGTCAATTTCTCTGCACTGCCTCCAACCGTGAAGGAAACTGTCCTTACGCACTCGTTTTAGGACGACGTCTACTTGACCCCTTTTATACATTTTCATTCGTACAATATTATTTATTTGTATGGAACAGTGCAAGTATCTTAAGTGACTGAGCTGACTCGATTTAACTGTACGAGGTTGTTTATAAGAAGTTAAGTCCAATTTATGAGAATTCATTTTATGTTGTAAGTTCAAGTTTTACTGTGTGAAAGATTTTCTTTTTCTTTTTTTTAATTAAAGCATGGGTATCTTTTTATTGGAAGCAATCCTATTCAAAACACTGTCGGACACTAAATGTGGCCATCTCTCCCAGCGAGAATTCGAATCTTAATTCACCATGTTATGAGGGATTAACTTGTCCTGTTAGACTCAATCTCTGTTGGTTGTGTAAAAGATTTTAGATAAAGTGTTTGTAAGTGCTTTCATAAAATTTAAGCGGTCCGTTTTGCTTTGGAAGTATGCGCAAGCTTTAATTATGTTCTGTTCATTAATGGGCCTCACGGAAACTAAAGCATATGGATCCGTTTATGAATGTCCCAAATCAGAATTCTGTGTGGATAGTTTTGATAACCAAATAAATAAAGGCTAAGGTTTAATTTTACCCTGGAGTTTTTGAAACCGAGTATATTTATAAGTTTCTGTTGAATCAATATCATTTTAAAAATATTTAAACAAAAAAACGAAACAAAATCGTCCTAACCATTTAAAAACTAATGCTAACCTTTAATATTTTTAGCAAATAGAAACAATATTGCTCTTTTCTTGCACTTTCTAACTAAGCAATATTGATCTACCAAAATCTTTAGCATGCCCCTAACTTTTATGTGAAAAATTTCTTAACAAAATTGGACATTAACCCAATAAATAACCTTCAGGATTCAGGCCTAAGGCCTGAACTTGATGAGTAATACATTACTTATCTAGTTATTATTCTAGTTTAATATAAAGTCTTCGTTTTGAACTTCAGTGTGATTGTGAATGTGTACGTTTGCTATATTTAAAATCCCCCTCATTTATGACAGATTAGTATATCATCATCATTTTATATGACGTATAAGATGATCATATCATACCCTTATCGTATATAACAATCGTTATGGTCATTATAAATAAGACAAATAGGGAATTTAATAAAGGGGGAGGTTAGTGCAGAATACACGCAACTATGGTCATAATAATCTAAATATTTTCCTGTTCCAAGTTAATCATTCTTCATTACCCAGACATTAAAACAATTCACCATTTCTTCAGGGCGGCCAGTGATTTGATTTCATCGCATTTGCAAAAAATGAATTTGTATGCTACTTTGCTTTCATCTAGCTGGAACAATATTGTAGAAAAATAATTAATTGACTACTGTTTTAGACCACGACGTATTGTATACTCTTTTTTGTGAAAAAAATACTAACAGGCCCTGACCAAATACAACAAAATTCATAAAAAAATAATGCATACAAAAATTCAAATGCGTGAGCATATGTATTTACGTACAGAAGGAAGCAAACAACGTATAGAAGATTAAAAAGAAAAAAAAATCAAGGAGTGATCTTCTGCAAATTAGTAAAGGATAGAACAAAGTCAAGGAACTTAAAGTTTGAAATTAAAAAAAGAAAAGAAAACAGAACTATGAGCAACGCACAGTGTATATCATACGTCTAGCAAAGTTGAACCTTAGCATTTTCCACGAATCATAATTAATTTCATGATCATGTCAGTCCTCCCACAGACTTAATTACCCTGGTAATTAACATTTTACTCCTTTAATCTTATTTATAAAGCACTTCCAGCATGTTCATATAAATCAAGAAAAACTTTAAACTGCATTAACTCTCTATTAAAATACAATTTTATAAATTTACTACTATTTAATATATACACCTTTCAAAAAATTAACTATTAGTACTATAATAAATGAAGGATAAAATAAAACTTTTATGCTAAAAGTTTAATGAAATGATTTATAAATAAGACCAGAAAAATATTTTCTTTCTAGGTAATTATATACTACATAATTATAAGTAATAGATATATTAGTCCTATTAACCAATAATTTTTTTAAAATAAAATTTATCAATTTCTAAAGGTTGACTTTATTTTTTGATATAATATTTTGTTATCACAGAAGCTCTTGTTTGAAAGAAAAAGTCTTCTGCTACTATTATTTTGAAAATAGAAAATAAAGAGAAGCTTGGGTTTCGACATCAACATATAACATACAGATAATTTAAATTATTAATGAAAGCAAAATCAATTGATTACTTGAGAATCAAAAAAGATAATAGCCAGCATATGTATGGATAAAGATAATGAAGTGGATATTATATTAATTCCAATGATGTGAACCGGTCAAGTAATGTGGCAGAAACAAGAGGCTAACTGTTTACCCTTTATTACTACGCTACCTCCCCTCCTAATCAAACAAATGAAATTAGGAACCCACATCACAAATATACAAACGAATACACAAACAATAATCTTTATATTATTATTCATTTTACTTTAAACACCAACGTTATATGTGGGTTGTATATATTAAATGATGACTTTGTATATATAGTTGATGGACTTAGCACTGAGTGGGAAGATCAGCTGGAGGAGGAGGAAGTGTAGTTTCAGGTGTTGGTCCATTCTCAACCTCAAAAGCCATTGTAAGCCCCCAAGACAAGTGATTATCAATATGACAATGCACCAACCATATTCCTGCACATATGTATACCAGAAAATTGATTAGGTCAACTATAAATTGATAATACAAGAATATGTCTGATGATATATTGATAATTAAATGAAAGGGATGATCAAAACCTGGATTATTCGCTTGGAATCTGACGACGGACCAGCCTGCGAATGGAACAGCAACAGTGTTACGAATCTGAGGATCCACAAGATTGAACTGGGATTCATCTCTTGAAGCGTTGTAATTGCCTGTCCCTTGAGCCAAAACATGGAAATTGAATCCATGAATGTGCATAGGATGGTTCTCGGCCGCCAGTATGGCTGTGTTCTGAAACACAATCTGCACCGTCGAGTTGAATCTTAACGTCTTCACCTTGGTGGATTTCGGAGCGAAGGCTAAACTTAGATTACTGTTAAGACTTGGATCAGTGTAATCAAACACCAAAGGAGGATTATCTGGAAAATCTTTGGTGTAAACTCCAGTAGTAGCATTTCTGTAGAATGCATCCAACATGGAGAGTCCTCGTCCACTGGGTAACACGAAAGATTCATTGTTCATGCTCGAAGACAAGCGGAAATTAGCCGGTCCCCGACATGTGTCATTCGGTAGGTTACAGAAGTCAAGAGCGAGTCCGACAGTGATGAACATGTGTTCGTTCACGTCTTCTGGAACGGGGACCCAGTGGGGGCCGCCAGCTAGCCCTGTGATGCTGAGGTAGAAATTGTTGGCCGTTTGTGTGTCGTTACGGACGGGTAGGATTGGCATCGGGGGTGTGGTTGAGGTGGATCCGTTGTAAACGACAATGCCTACTGTGGTCGTGTCAGCCACGGGAGTCACCGACTCATTTAGGGTACTGTAAGGAGTGGCCGCCATAAAGTATGAGCCGACCGTTTGGTTGGCGGTGAGGAGGGCGTCGACGGTTTGGCCTGGCGCCACCACGATGATATCGGTGTGGTAGTGATTCGTATATGCGGCGTCGACGGCGACTACGGTGAAGGTGTGACTTGCTATCTTGAAGAAGAGGTGTTCATTGAGTGCAGCATTGATGATTCGCAACAAGTAGGTGTTTCCCTGTTGCACCTCAAAGCGGAATGTCTCTGGAATGTACGAAAATTAAGATCATGGTAAGACAAAAGCAGCAAATATATATACAACTAGCCTGCTTAATATAAAAACTTATTTAACTTTTAATTTGGTTATAAATATAAGATCTCAATCCATTTTTTCTTTTATATTTATTTATTTTTTAAAAAGTAGTCCTTATAGTAGTTAAACATGTTAAATGTTTCATCAAATGGTAATTCTAACTAATATATATTATCAACAAAAGTATTTTAGGAAAAATAGCTATTTATAATAAATAACTAATTTTCTTAATCTCCACGAATTAGTCAACTAGGTCTTATATTAAGGACTAGAAATTATTGATAAGGTCAAATGTTTGACTTACGATTTTGGGAGCAATTATAGAGAGCTCCAGGCAAGCCATTAATGGTGAAAGCGTCGGATATATTGGGAGCACCACCAAATTCCACTGCTTCCTCCTCAACTTCTATCACATTAGCATTCCACCACTCACCTGCTCATCATTGACAATGTCTTTTCATCTTTTCAAATGATTTTTTTTTAAAGAGGAAAAACTAAATATTAATAACTAAATATACAGACCCAATACTATGGGGACTTCTTGGTGAGGTGTAGGGAAAGGGTAAGAGTTTCCCAGGCGAGGGCGAATGATGAGGGCTCCATAGACCCAAGCACGAAGGAAAGAAGAGTGGGCATGCCACCACAGAGTTCCTTCTTGTTGTGTTACATTAAATCTGTAAGTGTAGTTTCTTCCTGGTAGGATTGCACATTGCGTTACAAATTCAGGACCATCTGCCCATTGACTCATCAGCTGAAGTATTCCATGCCTGCATTTTATAATGTTATAAACAAAATCTCATATAAATTATAACATCCAAAGCCAAATTTTGCTCCTATAACATTGTACTGTATTGATCTTCAATCATTCCTCACCTAAATTTTAATAAAACCTTTACATTGATCAACCGCTTCCCCAGGTCAAAAATAAATAAATAAATAAAAAATGAACGGCTTCCTGCAAACTTCAAGGTAGAGAGACGAGAATGAAACTCTCTGCCGAACTGTAATAGTCTATTAAATCTGGTCTATTTAATTTTATATTTTGTAATTGGGATTATTTTTGAGGATGACCAGGTGGACAAAAAATTGAGATTTTAATCTGTTAGAAAAGAAATAAACACAGACGTGTATTCGATAGGGAAAGTTTAGAATAACCGTAAAAGCTATTTCATGAAAGTGATTTATATAGCAGAAAATGTTATCAGATAACTTTATGTATTAGTCAATTCTTAAGGTCAAACTATATGGTGTCTTTATTTTTTCCTCTAACGTGTAACTTCTTAGTTAAGATTAGATAGATCAAGTTGACCGAGGGGAGATCGTCAGAGAAAGCGTAGAAATAATCGAACAGATACTGTTTTTTTCCCCTTTTTACTGCAAACACAAAAAAGCTGATTATATCTATTTATGTATATACCAATGAATAGTGAGGTTGTAGGGTGACTTATTGACGGCGTGGACGATAACAGTGTCACCCTCTCGTACGTTAATGGTTGGTCCGGGCAACATTCCGTTAACTGCAGCTATTTCTGTTTCTTCGCAGAGTCTCTGCATTGTCACGTTCGCTACCTGCATGCATCCAATCACATATCGTACTTAACAATAATACATATATGTGTTTATATGTCAGGTATTGTAGCAAGAGGAAGAACACGACCAGCCAAACTGATACAATAATTAGATTGCTAAATGTAACAAGACGAGTATAACTTATTCTTTTTCTAAGGCCTCACTTATATATCCTGTTTCTCCCGTCTTTGTATATAAATTTAAATAATTCTCCCCCCCCCCCCCCGGGATTTCACCTATCTCAGTAGAGAACCCATGCGCATAGTAGAAATTAAGTATGATAGCAGAGATTTTAAGTATATAGTCCATGAAAGAGATATATAAGAAAATGAAGGAGCTTTAAGCACTTACTTCCCACGTGTATTCGACTACATCAGCAGAAACCAAAGAAGAAGAGGAAGCTAGAAGAGCAAGAGTCCATGCCAGAGATAACAATGAAGAAGTTCTCATGATGAAGATCACAGGGAGATCGAGATATGGAGCTTTGTATTTTAAGAAGCTGTCTCATTGATGTTATACGTTTATCTTTATAGAGTCCCAGACTAATGTGATTGCGTGTGTAATATAAAAATCCAATGGGCTTAATTAGATCGAAATAAAACGGTCCTTTGAATTTTCGACGCATTACGTAACATGAACATCTATCATCTTTCAATAAAATTGTTTTAAATTGGTAAAGGACGAAGAAAATGACATGGAGGAAAAAAAAATATGGTAATTAGCTTGTCAGATATTTTTATTATGCTGTTATCGTAGACTTTGAATTTCGAGGGGCTTTTGACTCTGAGATATATTATGGGTTTGGTACCAAATTTAATTTTACATATGCTTCCATATAGCAATCGCGTTCTACACCCACACACACTTTCCTGGATTCAAAATGAGGGAACATCAACTTTTACCAGTTCAAATAAAAGTATGATAAGCAACCATAAAGTTTTTGGAAAATTGTGTGTGTGTCGTATGTGTACAATGGTCAATAATCTTAATTTGTCTTGGTGTGCAAGAGAAGAAGAAACTGAAATAATAATGGAGGGGTCAATTTCAGTTTTTAACAAATTTGGCAAGAGATTTTATTTCGTCGAGTGGAGACGATTCAAAATAGGCCACAGTAATTTTACTAAAAAATATTGTCATAAATACATTGTGTGTTCAAGCTATATAGGTTTCTGCCTACAGCTAGCTATTGAGTAAATTATACATTTTTTTTTCAAAAAAGAAATAGTGGGTTTTTTTTTGTTTCAGAAAATTTACGTCGTGTATGTATATTAAATTTTAAAAAATTACATCGATTCTGAAGATAAATTAAAGAAAAAAATGTAGACTCCGTTTGTGTAATTGTATTTTTTATTGGCGTTCTCACAAACTTACTGTCATAATTAACATTTTATTCTTTACTATGCATTATATGGGTTATAATTGGATGAATTTTGGTCCGGGACCACTCTTGCTTGGTTGGCTAGACTTTAAACCGCCAAGTTTGAAGTTTCCTTATATTATATTTTCAAACATTATGATATTCTTTACACACATGCATATATTTAATTTGCTGTTACGTCTGAGCCATTAGCTAATCATATAATTTGGGTATTTTGTCGTAACTTTTCGTTCATGATTTGGTATTTTACCCAGAGATCTACCTTAATTAGCAATAATAGACACATATATATTTGTGCATTCACCTCTAGAAGTGACAAAAAAATTTATAGTAGAGTCCTAAATCGGTAGTTTTTTAATTTCTAAGAATTGATTTGTTTTTTAATATGATATTTGGCTTGCGATTACAGAAGCTCTTGTTTGACAGAAAAAGTTTTATGCTCCTAGTATATTTGACAATAGAAAAATAAATAGAGGCTTAGACTTCTAGACCCACATATAGCATCAAGATAATGTTAACTACCAATGAAAGCAAAATAAATTCATCAATTGAGAATAAACTTAAAGAAGATAATAACTAGCGTACAGGTAAAGGTAAACGAAGTAGATATTATTAATTAATTTCAATTCATTGTTGTGAACAAGTCAGGTAATGTGGTTGAAAGAAGGGGCTAAACTGTTTGCCCATTATTACACTCTCTCTTCCCAAACAAACAAATCAAATGAGGAGCCCGGCCACAATACACATATACAAATGAATACACTTAGCTTGAAACAAATATTTATTCATTTATGTTATTTTAACTCCAATATATAAATGGGCATTGATATAGAATGATTTTGTGTATATATAATTATTGATGGACTTAACACTGAGTAGGAAGATCAGCTGGAGGAGGAGGAAGTGTAGTTTCAGGTGTTGGTCCATTCTCAACCTCAAAAGCCATGGCTAACCCCCAAGTCAAGTGATTATCAATATGACAATGGACCAACCATATTCCTGCACGCACATATATATACAAGAAATTAATCAGTACATTAAACAAGAAAATGTCGGCCATATTACTAATAATTAAATGAAGAGATGATCGAACCTGGATTATCTGCTTGGAATCTGATGACAGACCAGCCTCCGAATGGAACAGCAACAGTGTTACGAATCTGAGGATCTTTAAGATTGAACTTGGATTCATCTCTTGAGGCGTTGTAATTCCCAGTCCCTTGAGCCAAAACATGGAAATTGAATCCATGAATGTGCATAGGATGGTTCTCGGCTCCCAGTATTGCCGTGTCCTGAAACACAACCTGCACCGTCGAGTTGAACTTCAAAGTCTTCACCTTGGTCGATTTTGGAGCAAAGGCCAGAGCTTGAACGTCGTTAACGCCTGGATCAGTGTAGTTGAACACCAGAGGAGGCTGATCTGGAAAATCTTTGGTGTAAACTCCTGTGGCATTTCTGTAGAATGCATCCAACATGGAGAATCCTCGTCCTTCGGGAAGCACGAACGATTCGTTGTTCATACTCGCAGACAACCGCGTTCTATTATTAGGACCCCAACACGTGTTATTGGGGAGATTACAGTAGTCGAGGCCGAGCCCTACGGTAATGAACATGTGTTCGTCCACTTGTTCAGGAACTGGGACCCAGTGGGGGCCACCAACTAGCCCTGTGATGTTGAGGTAGAAGTTATTGGCCGTTTGTGTGTCGTTATTGGCAGGTAGGGTTGGCATCAGGGGTGTCTCTGAGGTGGATCCCTCGTAAGCGACAATGGCCGTCGTGGTTGAGTTGTTGGAGGTGAAGTTTAGCGTTTGGTAAGGAGTGGCAGCCATGAAATATGAGCCGACCGTTTGGTTGGCGGTGAGGAGGGCGTCGACGGTTTGGCCCGGCGCCACCACGATGATATCGGTGTGGTAGGGATTCGTATAAGCAGCGTCGACGGCGACGACGGTGAAGGTGTGACTTGCTATCTTGAAGAAGAGGTGCTCATTGAGTGCAGCATTGATAATGCGCAACAAGTAGGTCTTTCCACGGCGGACGTCAAGTTGGAATGTCTCTGTATGTATATTACATGAAAATTAAATTAATTAATACCATAGTAAGGCAAAAGCAAGATATATAAAAATTTGAGAGTGTTTGACTAAATATTATATGATTCATACGTACGATTTTGAGAGCAATTGTAGAGAGGTCCGGGCAAGCCATTAATGGTGAAAGCATCGGATATTCTTGGGGCACCACCAAATTCTACTGCTTCTTCCTCAACACCCATGACATTACGATCATACCACTCACCTGCAATATTGAATCAACCTTCTCATCATTAGAAAATGTCTGTTTTATTTTCAAATGACTTTTTTAAAGGAAGAAAAAACTAAATATTATTAATTAATAAATATACCGACCCAATACTATGGGGACTTCTTTGTAAGGTGTAGGGAATGGGTAAGAGTTCCCCGAGCGAGGGCGAATGATGAGGGCTCCATAAACCCAAGCACGAAAGAAAGAAGAGTGGGCATGCCACCACAGAGTTCCTTCTTGTCGTGTTACATTAAATCTGTAAGTGTATTTTCCTCCTGGCAGAATTGGACATTGCGTTACGTATTCAGGACCATCTGCCCATTGGCTCATGAATTGAAATATTCCATGCCTGCGTTCGATAAAATGTTAAGCAAATCTCATCCAGTTTTATTAACAAATGCATGCATTTGATAGGGAAAGTTTAGAATAATAATAATTACTCCTCCGGTCCTATATAGGACCCAATTGTTAAGTTAATTTTGATCTTAAATATAAGACCCATTTCTCATATTTATCAATTTTTTCTAAATTACCCATATGAATACTCCCTCAACCATAATCAAGTAGAAGAGAGAGGGGGTATTAAGAAAGATAATTATATTGTTTTAGGAAAAATGTGTCACATTTATTATAATTAACTAACTTACCTAACTTCCTTAATCTCATCAAATTAGTTAAATGGGTCTTATATTAAGGACCGGAAGAGTATATATTTATGGCAAAATGTTGTGAGATGACCTTTCACCCAAGAAAAAAAAAGGTCTATATCAGTCAGTTCTTAAGGTCAAACTACACATGGCGTATGTGTTTGTCCTACGTAGCTTGCTAATCAAGGATTAGATTGAGCATATTGACCGGGGAGAAATATAGGGCAGAAATAATCAGCATAGAAAAGTTTTTTTTTTCGCATGCATCTCTAAAAGTTGGCTGATTAATTTGACTAGATTATGAAAATTAGTTAAATTAGTTGTTTGTAATAAATATATATATCTTTCCTAAAATATCATTACTAATTAATTATATTAACTAGCACTCACATTTGATGAAACCTTTAACATATGCAATTATTACATGGACTATCTTAGAAAAAATAAATAAATATAAGAAACAAAACGGATTAGGATCTTATATTTAAGACCAAATTGAAAGTTAAATTAGTTTTTATATTAAGAATTGGAGGTAGTATATAAAAGCAAATAAAAATGAAGTTTAATTAAGTATATGTACCAATGAATAGTGAGATTGTAGGGGGACTTATTGACGGCGTGGATGACAATAGTGTCACCCTCTCGAACGTTAATGGTCGGCCCTGGCAGGCTTCCATTAACAGCAGCTATCACCCTTTCATTACACAGCCTCGTCACTGTCACGTTCGCGACCTGCATACGCCCAAACTCGTATTATATGTTGTCTAAATGAAACCTTATTTATGAAAAGAGAAAGTGATGATGGTTAATGTAAAAACATGTATTTAATGGGGCTGAAAATGAAAAGAGCAATTTAAAATTTCAGGAGAAAAAAAATTATTTATATTTCGAACCAACCTTATGTGAGTCATATATAAGACCGTACCTGAGGGAGTATATAGGTATGATCATATATTGAATGATGTAAAAGATATATTTAGAGTCAGAAGATCGTAATGAAGGATAAAAGAAATTAAGTATGATTAGATATTCTCATTATTGTGAAACAGAATCAAATGCTGATCGTTTAATCCAAACACATGCAAGCAGATATTTAAGTATATCGTCCATGGAAGAGATCATATAAGAGAATGAAGGAGCTTTTAGCACTTACTTCCCACGTGTATTCCACA